GGTTCCATATCTTAGCTATGGTAAATAATGCTGCAATAAACATAGTTGTGCTGGTAGCTTTAGTGTGGTCTTGTTTGTAAACATTTGGGTAAATGCCCAAAAGTGGGATTACTGGGTCATAGGGGAGCTCTATGTGAAGTCTTTTGAGGAACCTCCATACTGCTTTCCAAAGTGGTTGAACAAGTTTACACTCCCACCAACAATGAAGTAAGGTTCCCTTCTGTCCACATCCCCTCCAGCATCTGTTGTTATTAGAGTTCTTGATTTTTGCCATTCTAACTGGGGTGAGATGGTATCTCAATGTTGTTTTGATTTGCATTTCTTTTATGGCTATGGAGGTTGAACATTTCTTCATGTGTCTATTGGCCATCCTTCTTTCTTCTTCAGAGAAGTTTCTCTTTAAGTCTTTAGCCCACTTATTTATTGGGCAGTTGTTTCTTTGAGGATTTGTTGTTGGGGGATTTAGTTTTTTGAGTTCCAAGTATATTTTAGATATGAGACCCTTGTCCATTGTATGGCTAGTGAAGATCTTCTCCCAATCTGTGGGCTTTCTATTGATCTTGCTAGGTATGGCCTTTGCCATGCAGAAGCTCTGCAACTTCATGCAATCCCATTTGTCCAACCTTTCTTTGATTTGTTGTGTTTCCGGGTCTCTATTAAGAAAATTTGGGCCTGTGCCAAGGAGACCTAGGGTTTCTCCTATTCCATCCTGTAATGTTTTCAGAGTGTCTGCTTTGACTCTGAGGTCCTTGATCCATTTGGAGTTGATTCTGGTGCAGGGTGATATATAAGGATCTAGCTTTAGTTTTCTACAAGTAGTTAACCAATTTTGCCAGCACCATTTACTGAAGAGGCTGTCTTCTTCCATTCTATTGTTTTAGCTCCTTTATCGAAGATTAGATGGCTATAGGTCTGTAGGTTCATTTCTGGGTTTTCAATTCTATTCCATTGGTCCTGAGGTCTGTTCTTATGCCAAAACCAAGTTGTTTTGATTACTATGGCTTTATAGTAGAGTTTGAAATTTGGTATTGATATTCCTCCAGCAGTGTTCTTTCCGTTGAGGAGCGTTTTTGCTATTCGGGGTCTTTTATTGTTCCATATGAATTTTTGGATTGCCTCTTCTATTTCCTTGAAGAATGAGGGTGGAATTTTGATAGGTATCACATTGAATTTGTAGATAGCCTTGGGAAGTATTGCCATTTTCACGATGTTAATCTTTCCAATCCAGGAGCATGGGAGGTTTTGCCATTTTCTAAGTTCTGTTTTGATTTCTTTTTTCAAGATTTTAAAGTTTTCATCATAGAGGTCCTTCACTTCTTTGGTTAAGTTAATTCCTAGGTATTTTATTTTTTGTGGGGCTATTACAAATGGAGTTGCTTTCCTAATTTCAGCCACACTTTTCTCATTGTTGGCATACAGAAAAGCCATTGATTTTTGGGGGTTAATTTTATAACCTGCTACTTTGCCAAAGTTTTGAATCAGCTTGAGTAATTTGGGAGTGGAGCCTATGGGATTCTTTAAATACAAGATCATGTCATCTGCAAAGAGGGAGAGTTTTATTTCTTCTTTCCCTATTTGGATCCCCTTTATGTTTGCATCTTGTCTTATTGCTGTAGCTAGGCATTCTAATACTAGATTGAAGAGAAGTGGTGAGAGTGGACATCCTTGTCTTGTTCCTGAGTTAAGAGGAAATGGCTTTAGTTTTTTCAGTGACCTATTTTCAAAGCTAGGTATCTGATAGGATCCTGAGTTACAAATTACTAAGAGCTTGTTTGCATAGAGGGAATTGTGAAGTTTGTACACCCATAAGGTTCCTATGCAACTAATAAGGGAGAACAAAGAAAATACCATGGTAAATAGCCCAGATGCCCCTCAATGGGTGAATAGAACAAGAAAATGTGATCTATCTACCTACCTACCTATCTATCTATCTATCCACACACACACAATGTAATACTCATTCATCTGAAAGAATGATATTGCAACATTTGCAAAGAAATGGAAGGAACTGGGGAAAAATCATGTTAAGTGAAATAAGTCAGGCCCAGAGAGACAAAAGACACATGTCTTATCTCATATATGGAAGCTGGGATTAATTTATAAATGTATAAGTAAACACTTAGGGGGTGATGTGCAAGTATACATAAATGCATTCTCTGAAATATGGTAGCTTCAGAGGAGAACCGAAACAGTGTAATTCTTCAGAATGGCTAACTCACAGTCCAACAAAATAAGCACCAGGAAATGGATACTCAAACAGGTGCAGAGGATGAAATCATAACTCTCAAGGCATATCCTAGAGTCAGGAAAGTTGAGAAAAGGGGTGGATGGGTGAGAATGATGGAAGGGGCAACATTGAACAATAGGCATTGTGTTCATACACTGTTTTGTGGAATGGCAACTTGTTTGTACAACCATTTAAAACTAATAATTAACAAAAGAAAGTAATAGAAAGTTACTACCATTTTCTGGGGGGAAACTTGGAAGGTGCTGCTTGGTGAATGAAGCTTCAATTCTCGTATTCTCTGAAAGTGGAGCAGCATTTCCCATTCATATATAATATAAATAGACTGATTTTCTACAGTGTGTCTGGCTATATCAAGTAGATCTCTTCTTGCTATCCCAAGTTTTCACCTGTCCCTGGAGCTATCTGATAGGGTAACCCAAGAGTTTTTTTTGTTTTGTTTTGTTTTTTGACATGGTGTAGGGAGTCACTCTTCTATTTGATAAATCACCTTACTGGCTTCTTGGAACCAGGTGAGCATCAAGCTCATAAACAGCAACATCACAACATGCTATATTTCTCATCTTTTCCAAGAATTCAGACTGTATTTCCTGGTTTGAAAATGGTGACCTGAGTTTATAAGTCAGAGACAAGGTACACCTCCAGAGGACAAATGACTTGGCACTGGGTCATGGAGTCATTGGTCCCTGGGGAGAAACTCTAGATGTTCTCTGTACAGATGAAACTTAATCCCCAAGCACCCCAGAGCCTGGCCTGTGAGAACCCCAAGTTCTTCTGTTCTAACCTTATTCTGGCCTCATCTTACAGATGAGGCAATAGAGCCCAGAGACATGAAGTGACCAGTCCAAGCGAATAAGGCTACTGATTACCACTGTTTTTGCAATGTTTAAACTATGTTTTCCCCAGTCCAGCAAATACATGCCAAAAAAGATTCCAGAATCCATATGAGAGCAAAGCAAGTTTGGTTTTAATGGGAGGTCATTCTATAGCAACCAGCTTCTTTGGGGTATGAGAGACATGTTACCTAAAGGCGCAAAACCACCACATTCAGAGTCTGGTCCAGAGTGCAAAGCCCTCCCTGTACTCTCTCCTTAGCCTTTAGAATCGATGGGTGGGTGAGGTAGGTACATGATGTCTTCTTCAGACCTGAGCATGACAGAGACTGAAAGCATCTGCCAGGAGAGCTGGGCCTCCTGTTTTGCCGTCCAGATGCCCACCAGTCAGCCCTGCTAATTGGCTTCTGTGCAGGCAGCTATTGAAGCCCAGGAGACTTCCCATGGCAGATCTTGATTTAAAGAGAAATATTAAAAACATTCCTCCACCTCCCAAAGTTTCCAGGGTTACTCAAGTTTAGTTGATGGGACAAGAGAGAAAAACAGCCTTCAAATCTGTTGTGTGGATAATCAGGCTCCTGAAATTCAGAGGATAATCTTTAGAGAGATGGTGACTAAAGTGTCTGATTTCTGTCTAAGGAGATACTTTCCCTAAGGTCACATGGGATTCAGAAGAGAATTTATGGAGAAATTGCCACCATGACCTTAAACACTCAGCCTTTGAGTTGATATCATTATGAAAAATGGAGTGCTATTAAAATATACTGAACATCTTAATGACTCTACTAGCAGTCAGCTAAAAAAAAAAAGAGTGAGAGAGGAAAAAAAAAGACTTAAACTCTGGAAGGGAGGATTTTGCCAAGGAGACTGTAATGTCAAGAGATGCTAAAAATAAGGTGCTCAGAGCCATTCCAGAGCCGTGGGCGGGGATGTATACATAATCAAATTAAATTATTTCATTTCCACTTATGGCAAACTCTAAAGGGAAGAAAAAAATCGACTAGAAAACATTTAGTCATATTTCACTTGGATTATGCTTATAAATACCAAACTCCAGACCTGTCAAAATAAGCCCTAACAGCACTTCCTGGCAAAGATGTTAGGTAGACAAAGGCTGAGAGTTGCAAGAAAAATAAAGAACTTACAGAAACATCACACCTGCAGTAGCCTTGGGAACTCAGTCCCCAGCTCCCAGGGAAGAATCTGGGCTGTCACAGCAAGAAGCAGGGTCCCTGAGGTGTGAAGGTGGCCCAAATGCTGGCTGCAGTGGGAGGAGCCTTCTAAGAGTTTCAAGACAGGAGTTTCCAAGTCTCAGTTCCCAGAGACTGAAGGTCAAGGGCACATGGCAGTTCATTTATTTTTCCTAGAGAAGGTGCTTCCTTGATGATTTGGGTCTAGATCCCAGTAGTGTGTTCTTTCCACAAGTCCTTTGTTGATATAATGAACATGCAAGCTCGGCTGATGCCAGCCTCTGTATACAGGCCCTGTACATGAACTGGTTGACATTTCAGGGACAAACATCTTTCTTGGCAATGACCATCAAACATCCAATGCAAACACTGGAGGAAAAAGTCATTTTAAATTAATTTTAATCAATTAAAATCATCATTTTTTAAAATGGCAACCAGGTCACAACCCTGAGCCAGTGCTATCTCTATCCACTGTATTTAGTTCTGATCGAAGGAGAAGAGGGCTGGGAGTTGGGAGGAAGGCAGAGGTAAGAGGTGTCTTTCCTGGCTGGTAGGAACCGTTGGTGTGTTTATGTTGGCCACTGTTCACACTGCAGGTGACATACCTTCATTGGAAGTGAGGGCAGGAGCAGGCTGGAGGGATCTGCTGAGATCCAGGCACATGCATGAACTGGTGGTAAGGACCCAAGGGGAAGGATGGATTTTGGCCTGGTGCTGCCACTGCCCCAGGATCTAGAGGAATTCTGGCTTGGACAGAATCTTCATTTCGTGCCTCTCGCTTTTCTCTCGGCATGTTATTCTGGAATCTTGTGACCTTTGATCCCTAGGCAAAGTCCAAATAAAGCAATGAGGGAAAATGATCTTGCAGGATGAAAATGGAGGCTGAGATACTAGTGGTGGGGGTTATTAAAGATCAGGCAGCAGCTAGGACTTTCCAGGTTCTCTAATGCCCAAATCTCTCTCTCCACTATTCATTGCCATCTTTCCATTCGTCAGCACCAGAGTTCAGTGGACAGCGACAGCAACAAAGTCCTGCACACTTCTATTAACCCATTGCACAGGGGAAGAAGCTAAAACTAATATAAGGAAGTTAAAACAAACAAACAAACAAAACCTGCCTAGCGTCACACTTAGCTATGAATAAGCAGGATTTGAACCTCAGTCTCTGGCATTAAGCCCAATTCTCAAGCTTTTCTAATTTTCTGTCTCCTGTGGATTTCTCCACCTACTCTTAGCAGCTTATTCAAAATAAAAGGCGAAAAACAGGAGAACAACAGTAGTTACAAGAGGGCTTTAATTTCAGCTCTGGTACTAATGCATATCATCTCAATAAGGTCACTGAGTCTTGCAAGCCTTACTTTGTTTAGCTATAAAATGATAATTAAAAAAATATCTCGTTACCACATAGGCTTATATGGAGGTAGCACATATGAGGAGTTTTGAATGAGAAATATATCTCCATGTGTTGTGATAAAGGAAAGCACTTGTTACAAAATGTGATTCAGTATAAAAGAACTATTAGCACTGGCCATGGCCTGGTGTGGCTCAATGTTTTTCCCACAAGAAGAGCTGTTCTGGGCTCCAGCATCTCAAATAGATATGGGGATTCTGAAATGTGTGGGTGCTTTGGAATGAAGGGCGCACCCGTGTGTGTGTGTGCACGCATGCACGCGCGTGTACCCACACTCACACTCACACCAGCATCTGGATAAGATGGCCATCAGTTGTGTGGCTGGTCCAGAGCCCTCCTTTACCTGCAGGGGCCACAGGGGGAGCCGCTGAAGGCGCAGTAGATGAGGGGGTTGATGGCGCTGTTCAAGGCCGGCAGGTTCTGAATGATCACAGAGGCGAAGAAACGCTCCTTAGTGTCTGGGAGGAGGTTGAAGTTGTCCAAAATGTCAAAGAGGAAGTAAGGGCTCCAACAGCAGATGAACGCTGGGGAGAAGAGAGCCATTAGCAGAAGCCACCACTGAGGGTCTCTTGCTCATCTCTGACTGGAGCTTAACTGGAAGGTTCTGTGTTGGCTGGGATTCCTCAGAAATAGAATGCTGTCTACACTGGCTGTCATGTCTATCAAACATGTACACATGTACGCATATGTATGAACATGTTCTATGGATGACATTCTTAGCCTTAGGAGATTTCCTGGATCTTCTCTCTCTCTGTAGAGGGAGATGGTCTGATCTCCACAGTTTCAAATTGGTCACTGAGAGCTGGAGAACTGATGGATATGGCTGCAGCCTCTTCTCCAACACAGTGTGGAAGGAAACCCAGCAAAAGCACCTGGAGATCCTCTGTGGTCATCAGGAGAACATGAAGCACAGGGACCATACAGTGACTCCACATTCTAGATTATGACAGAGTAGTTTTGTTATTTTCAAACAACAGCTCAGTTTTTATCAGTGTTCTCGGTTTTTTATTCATCTCTAAGTTACCCTCTCAGAAAACACCCATCCAATATCCCTGTCCCAATCAATTCACGTCTGTATGAGACCTGGGGTTTTCAAATCCTCAAAGGAAATGGGTGCGGCATGGGGATCCAGAGTGGAAGAGTTAATTTTATTTGTTCACTTGACTGAGCTCCAGAGTGCCCAGATATTTGGTTAACTATTACTCTGGCTAAATCTATGAGAATGAATGAGTAAACTAATAAAAGCAGATGCCCTCCTCAGGGTGTGTATAACCCAATCAATAGGTTGAAGATTTGTATCTAATGATGAGACTGAGTGGGAAAGAATTTGATCTTTCCTTGACTAGCTGGAGACAATGATCTTCTGTCTTTACACTTGGAGTCAGACAGATACTTACATAAACCATTTTTCTGGGCCCAAGCCTTTGGACTCAAACTTGGATTAATACTTGTTCCATTTGCCGTCTTGGTCTCCAGCTTGCCAATTGTGTGTGGATCCTGAGATTTCTCAGCCTCTATGATCATGTCAGACAACCCTATCCATCCATCCATCCATCCATCCATCCATCCATCCATCCATCCATCCATCCATCCATCCATCCATCCATCCGTCTATCTATCTATCTATCTATCTATCTATCTATCTATCTATCTATCTATCTATCTATCTATCTATCTATCTATCTATCTGTCTGTCTGTCTGTCTGTCTGTCTGTCTGTCTGTCTGTCTGTCTGTCTGTCTGTCTGTCTGTCCATCCGTCTGCCTGCCTGTCTGTCTGTGTCTGTGGGTCTATGTCTGTCTGTCTGTCTGTCATCTAGCTATCTCCTGTTTTTCTTGAGAGCTCAGACTGCTATGGAGCTACATACCTATGGCTTGTCTGAACACCTACCCACTCCTCTCCACATCCTTATCACTCCCCTCTCACCTTTTCCCACTCTCAGAAATTTTCTTAGAGTATTAGGAATGTGTCTTCCTTAGCTGTCTGTATGCGGGGGGCAAGCTTTCCTCCATAATTGTTTGATAGAGATTCTGTGACTTGCTGGGGAGTTTTGGAATGAGGGATTAACTTGTTTATTTGTTTTGTTAATTTTTGGAGAGGGGAGGCAGTCATGGGTCTTGAACTCAGGAGCTGGGTGTTGTCCCTGAGCTTTTTTTTTTTTTACCTAAGGCTAGCACTCTACCACTTTGAGCCACAGTGCCACTTTCAAGGTATTAACTTGTAATGTCTTTGTTTCCAGATGGAGGCAATGTGTTACACAGGTGCAGTTAAGCATTTGGGACGCAGGGTGGCTCACCCCAGTAGAGAGAGTGGTATTGGGGCATCAAGGGAAACAGGCTTTTGTGTGCGGTGTGAATGTATAGTTTGTGTACATATGTGTGTGTACATAGGTGTGCCTGTCATCCTGTACACTCCCGGCAGCAGCCTGGTCAGCAAAACTCCTCATGTCTCAACCACTTTTTGAATGTCCAATTGAACACTCATGTAGGGAGGGATCCTGTCTGTCATGGCCCACTCTAGAAACCTACTGTTTGTATATACACACATGTATATTTTTAATAATACAGATGATTTTCAGAAACGTAACTCCTGAGGAAATGGAAGCTTACTTTAAATTTGGAATGCTACCAGGGAAATATTTTTTGCCTACTCACAAAATCAAGTCTATGACAGTAAACCTGATTCCATTTTCTTGTGTCCCCATGAAAATCCATCTGTATGAGTTGGCTCTTGTTATGCCTGATTACTTCATTATTTTCCAGTGTAACCATGTGAGCATACACACACACACACACACACACACACACATCACAACTTTTTGTTCTTACTTTAGGTAACTTTTGGAACATTAGATTGACTTTTAAAAATTATTGTAGGAATGCAGTATTATGAGTATCATCTTAGGATGATAAAGGGTCTTTCAAAACAGTTGTTACCAAGGTGGCTTTACAAAGTCTACTTATATTGCTGCTCACAGACTCAAAGCCCAGCAGTATAATTTCTGAATGTACAGGGTTGTGTTGGCTCTGGAATGCATGTTTAAGCACACATTTCCTGGTTCAACAGTCAGAGAGTGCATCTGTGATTCTGGCTGGAAAAGCATAGGGGTCTCTGATCTGCTTCAGCAGCTTCTGAGAAAGGGTTTCTCAGAGCCCTGGCTAGTTGTTTAGGCTTTCCCTCAGTTCTGCTTGCAATCTTCTTGTGTGCCTATACTCTGCTGGCTGAGTCATACATTGGGTGCTCTGTTTGGCATTTTGCATTCATGTTTTAGAAAGGAAAGAAGAGCTGTTCTGGTGATTCAATATGCAGCTAATGCTTTCTTGGAGCCTCTTAAGATCTGCCAGAGAGTCAGGGAAAGGGTGGACGAACTGACTAAGAAGGAGAGACAACAAATCCCTTTCCTTCTTATAGATCCTCATTCATTTACTCCTTCAACAAATATTAAAACGTATATGGGGACCCTATTGTAGACCTGGTGATAATAATGTAACACAAAAGCGTGACATTGCTTACATGGATTTGTTGCTACAGCAGGAGAAAATAAGAATCTCTCTCTCTCTCTCTCTATATATATATATGTGTATATATATATATATATATATATATATATATATATATACACACACACATATATGTTCAGGTAGAAGTAAAACTGCAAAGCAGGTAGGTTCAGATTAAAGAAGGGTTCAAACTAAAGAAGGCAGAAGGAAGTACCACTCTTGGGGAACAAAATGAGGTATGGAAGTTAACCATGCATCTGTCTGAGAGGAGACCATTTCAGGCAGGAAGTTGGCTTCATGTGTATAAAGAGTAGAAAGAAAAGAGAAGGGCAGAAGGTAGGCTGGCCGGAAGGTCAGTAAAGGCGGCTGTGTGGGAAGTGTCCGCAGTGACTCTAAAATTAAAAGACCCACAGAAAACGAAACATACCATCTTCCCTTGTTTTGTGAACGCCAGCCCTGTGGGAGGGGAGGGTGTGTCTTGAAGGAAGTCGCTGAGTGACAGGGGATCTGAGCATGAGGTACAGGTATGTAGGTCTAATCAGATGGACTACAAGTTGCTCCATCCACAGTATTGGTGGGCAACTGCATTCATCAGGGGCTAGAACACAGATATTGGCCCTTGAAGAAGGGACAGGAGTACTGGTGAAAGAGGCAAAGTGCTCATACATAGATGCCTGTCTGGCATGGGCCTTCTGGCCTGTCTGGCATGGGTGTTCTGGCCTGTCTGGCATGGGTGTTCTGGCCTGTCTGGCATGGGCCTTCTGGCACAAGTTTGTCTTTGGAGTGTTTACACAGTTCTGTGATACCAGAAGAGATACTGCTTACCGAGAATAATGACGATGCTATACTTGATGGCCTTGATTTTTGCCTTTGAGATGACCCCTCCTCTGTAGCTGGTGCAGAGTTTTCCATCTGCAGATACACAAGAGAATGGCAAAATTTAGTGGCCCATGATGTGACAGTTTCTGCTTTTTTTCCCCTCTGATAGAAACTTGAAGGTCAGACCTGCAGTATTTGTATGGGAAGATCACTTATTTCTTGTTTGACTATATCTAGAAGGACTTCCTGGGGCATTTTCCAACTATAATGCCTCTGAAAACTGCTCTTCTTGTGACCCTGTGCCATATGCAATTGCTATGGGGCAACTTAGACTTTTAAGAGATATGGCCAAATGGCAACTGGAACGGAACCGGTTGACCACAGGGGCCAAGTCCTTCTTTGTGGAGAGCTGATCTCTAAACCCCAGACTATGATGAAACACCCACATTGTTCCCTGCAGAAACCTGGGGAAAAATCATTTTCCTAGAAAGGTTGTTCTAGACCGATTCATTCATCTAACTCAGAAACTCTCTTCTTCACCAAAGCTCAAGCCAGGGATACCAACAAAACTATCATAACCAAATCTGGATATAACTTTAGGTCTAATCAGATGGACTCCCAAGTTCCCCAACCCATGGTATTGGCCAACTATATTCATTAAGGATTAGAACGTAACATTCATCCTTGGAGAATGGACAGAAGTGCTGGTGAGTCTTACGTGTTTCTTTCCTATCAGACAAATGTTGAAGCACCCATATACCAAGGCCTACCTGTAAGTGCTATTACCTGATGATAAAAACACTTGAGGGGTGAATGTAAGAGTCCACTGGAAAGGCTGAAGAGGTGGAGTTCAAGAGGTAGAGTGCTTTGTTCACATGCATGATGCCCTTAGTTCCATTTCCAGTCACACACACACACACACACACACACACACACACACACACACACACACACACACACACACACACACACACCACAAATCCATGAGAAATAGAAGCTACATGTGGACAAGGAATGTATTTTCTCCATTCTTGTAGCCTATTATCATACTGAGTGCTTAATAACTGTTCAATAAATCAATACTACCCTTTCATAGTCAAGAAGTACTGATGATAAAAGAGAGATTATCATGGGCAGGTTTAGTGCAATAGCCCTTAATAACCAAAGTGGTGGAGGGATGGCAAATTTGAGGATGAAATCTTGGCCACCGTGTCCTTTGACTATGGAAGAGTTTTTGTTTTTATTTTTTTATTACCATCAGGGCTTCAACCCCTATTTGTGAATTCAGCTCCTCTCACTGAATTGGTTTCAGTGTTTTCAACTGTAGTGGAGGTCCGGTTCAGAAGACCACAGTGTGCCCACGTGGCATGCTGAGGGCAGATGTGCCCTAAAGAGGCCAGTCTTACCCCTTGCTCAGAATCTGGTTTGAGAGTCATTTTAATCCTGAGAGGGGGCCGGGGGGAGACTAGTCATGGCTAATCTTTGTTCTCTTCGTGCAAGCCTATTCGCCATCGAATCCAGCCTGCTCTAATAAGCACGAGATGTTGCAGAATGGGAAGCCTGAAATCTACTTCTGCTTCTCCAGGAACTTTCAGTCCAGCAGGAAAACTCACACATGTTCCACAAGGGATCAGTGAGTGGAGGGGAACACAGGCCCACCCCACCCCAGCTGGGCCAGGGGTGGGGACTGTGGGGGATGAAGGGAGCAGCCAGAAAACCCAAGGGGCAGGAGGGAATCCACAGCCAAGGGTGCATGTGGGACTGCAGAGATGTGGGAAGCAGAGGGAACATCCCCAGCTGAGATACGGAACAAGAAGGCGGAGGATGTGTTGGGACCATGGTGAATCATCTTGTTTAGACGTAGCCTGCTGAAGCATGAGTTTGAGGGTGGAGAGGAGAGCTAAGGACAGGCGTGGAGTCCTCCAATCTCTTTGTCAGGAGTCTGGGCTGAATTCCTCAGGCAGCAGCAGCCCCCAGGAGCTTGGGAGTAGTTTGCAGATTTCCTCATGGAAGAGGACAATCTATTGCCAATAAAAACAGGCCTGGGGATTCTCAGGTGCAAAGAACTGACACACTAATTATAATGGATTCTTCTTCCTTTCTTTCTTTCTTTCTGGAGACTGTTAGGTACTTTACTATACTATTAGGGTCTTTAAATTATCCTGTGCACTTCCCTGAAGCACAGAGCCTCCTTTTCGGGAGGGAACATGTGACACAGTGTTCACAGTGGTGGTCTTCCTTGTGAGGACGGGGTCTTGTGGGGATTCTGCAGTGCCTTGATACCATCTGGCTGTCTCAACTGTGCTGGTGTGGGGGTGCAACCCATCTAATAGATCGAGCCCAGGAATGCTGCTATCCTCCAGCACACAGCAGACCCCTCCTCACCGGGCCCATCTGCCATTCCCAGAGTGGAGATCCTGAATATCCAGTGTGGTGTCTTGGGAAGGACACAGCCCTGGAATCAGGTATGAACCTGAGAAGGGCATAGTCATCACCATAGGGCAAGAACACACCTACCTTCTTGATCACTTAAACAAATTGCCCCAGGCTCCCAGACTTAGTCTCATGATTTTGAAGAAGAAAAAAAAAAGCACAAAACACCGCACTCAAAGCTGGATGCTGGCAGCTCACACCTGTAATCCTAGCTACTCAGGAGGCTGAGTCTGAGCAGCACAATTCAAAGCCAGCCCAGGCAGAAAAGTCCATGAAACTCCTATCTCTAAGTGGTAGAGGGCCAGGCCTGAGCAAAAGAGCTCAGGGACAGCAACCAGGCCCTGAGTTCAAGCCCCAAGATAGACAAAAACCAATAAACAAAACACAAAATTCACAGGTTTTTAGGTACTAAGCTCCATGGTAGTGTGCTAGTTACCTTGTTGCATGGGATGAATGCAGTTTTCCCAAGGGGGAAGAGGAGCTGTGTTTGTGGGAGAAAACTCCAGAAAACTCACAAGATTTTATACAAAATTGTGATCTGGAGACAGAGGGGATTTTATCCATGGGGCAGGAAGAGACCATAGCAGATCACATTATAGCCTGTTCATAATGTCCCCACTTGCTTGACCTGGGTAACAGCTAGCCCCTAACCAGTGCAGCTCTGAGGACTTAGTTGGTCTTTCAGAAGAGTTTCTGAGGATGGCATTTATGCTCTGAAATCTGTCTAAAATGGAAAGTCGCAATAGTTTCCACAAGACAGGTAGGTGACAATATAATCAACTGCCTGCCCTCTGATCTCCCAATGGGATCAGTGAAAATCGTCTTTAATGTGACCACTGGAGGAAAGGCAGGCCCTCCAGCTCTAAAGCGAGCTCTCCAAAGAGAGCTCAGCTACAGAATGCAAGTAATTCTCCTTTATTGGGAGATAAAAGGATTAGTTTTACTCTGTCCTCGGCACCGAGCAGGAGTGAAAAGCAGTGGACTTCACCTGTCAACATGCATTAGTGGCTCCACAGCCTGGAATTGGTGAGCTTGGTACATTTGCTGCTGGAAGAAGCAGACAGACAAGAGACTGTGTGATGCCAGGGTGCATCCTTAATCGGGGGTCAGGCGGGGAACTTAGCCTCCAAATAGCCAGTTCCGGCTCTTGCTCTTCGTAAGACTTGGGGCTCCCACAGAGTTGCCCTGGTTCATGGGGGTCCCTAGCACTGAATGCTGGAATAATTGGTCCCTAGGGATTTTTAACTAGCAGCAAAATGCATTCCTGCTGCTCCCTGGGGAGCGTGGGGAGCGCCATCTGTGGGTTTGTAATACGTGCAGGTGATTTGTTTAGAAACAAGGAAATCTAACCGGCAATATTTTAAAGTAAGTGTGCTTCGTGTGTTGGAAAAAAACTGTGTGTATTTCGGGTTGCTTAAAAAAAAGAAATAGAATTTTAGCAGTTCTTCCTGATCACTAAAGGTTTTCAGACTTAACGTTTGTTTTATATCTACACACGTAACCTAAATATCGGCAGGAATCATCGAGTATTTTTAACACGTCACACCGCCTCTTGCTTATCTGCATGACTGGTTATTTCCTTCCAAGGATTTTTTTTTTTTTTAAATTCTACTTTTTCTGGTACAGCCCAAGGGGCATCTAGAGTGTTCTTGATTCTTCCTGGCCACCACCCGTGCCTCCTCAGGCACTGTGGGCTGCATCCTGTTTTCTATGGCCCCTGTTGCTGACCTGGGAGGTCCCATGCCATTCCACAGACCTCTCTTCCTCTGAGGGCTCTGGCTGGGTGACATCTGTCACTAAGCCACCCCTGTGCACTCTTTCACTGCTGTTTGTGCCCTTGGGTGATTGCTTTGCTTGCTGCTCCTCTTCTGTAGGTCTCAGTGGTGCCAGTGGGCTTTGGAGTTTTTTAGAATCTTTGCCCTTCCCTGTGATGCCTGCTCTTAAGTTCTTCTATCAAGAAACAAGGATGTGTTTGTTCTGTGACTGCAGGGGCCTGCAGCAGAATCCATTGAGCTCCTGGTGGTGGAGGTAGGGTGAGGGGGTTTAAGAATCTCTCCTCAGTTTCCATGCAACTTTTCCTCACTAGATGTCCACGGTGACAGCTTCGGGTAGAATACCCCTACATGGTGTGGCCCTTACATTTTACTTTGACCTGAAAGGGAACTTATTGTCCCTTTGTGATCATGAGATATTACCTCTTTCCCTATGGGCTGGCCATATCACATACATCTGAACCTTCAAGATGGAGGCATTCTAAGTCCTATCTTCAGGAGGGTTTTAGCCAATTGCTGGGTCTCAGGAGCTCTCTCAGTGAGGTCAGAGGAATGATTACCTAACTCAGCCTTTGCTGAACCTCAGCTCAGACAAAACCAGGAACTTTGACAGGCCTAAAACAATTACACTCAAACAGGTATGTATTCGTTATCTTGCCCATGTAATTGTAACACCTCTGTATGGTATACTCACAACATAAAATAAAATAAAGTAAAGTAAAAAAACAACAACAGGTAAGCTGGCCATCAAATCCTTTCCTGCCCCCAGCTAAACTACATTTCCCAGTCTCCCTTATGGTAAGGTTCAGCCATGTGGCTAAGTTTAATGGAAGGGGACTTGGGAAGAACTGAGGTCTTTACTCCCCAGACCTGACCCTGGGTCAAACA